TAAAATAAATAAATAAAGACTTATGTGTACCAACAAGGAACCTGCGAATATATATAACAATAAACTTTGGTTCAAGGCTAAACTTAAGCAGCTACATGGTTCCAAAGAGGAAGCCTACAGAAAAGGTGACAGAATGCTATACAATCAGGCCAGAAACATATTAACAAGAGAGATCAGAGCAGCAAAAAGAAGCTACTCTGAAAAGTTAAAGAATCAATTCTCAACAAATTCACCAGCAAACATGTGGAAAACTTAAAATCATCACTGGCTTCAGCAAACCTCCTTCCCAGGCAGAAGGAAATCAACAACTAGCAGATGACCTGAATGTGTTTTACTGCAGGTTTGAAAAGAAACTACAGCCACCTATCTCCACAACCCCCATCTCAAACACACCAACAACAGCCAAGCTTCCTACAACTGGCCCTAATCCATTGGGCTCACAACCTCTGGTGATCACAGAAAAAGAAGTGCAAGATCTATTACACAGACAGAATCCAGAAAAAGCACCAGGGCCAGACAAGATAACTTCTTCTTGCTTCAAAGTCTGTGCTGACCAATTGGCCCCCATCTTCACCCGAATCTTCAATAAATCACTAGAGATGTGCTATATTCCTTCTTGCTTCAAATGCTCTACTATCATCCCAGTGCCAAAGAAGCCCTCCATCAGGGAACTGAATGACTACAGACCAGTTCCTCTAACATCTGTAGTTATGAAAACCTTTGAAAGGCTAGTACTGTCCCACCTGAAAACCATCATGGATCCGCTGTTAGATCCCATGCAGTTTGCATACCAAGCAAATACACCGACAGATGATGCTGTTAACATGGCTCTGCATTACATCCTACAACACCTTAAATCTCCAAATACCTACGCAAGGGTCCTCTTTGTAGACTTCAGTTCAGCATTCAATACCATCATTCCACTCTTCTTAGTAAATTAAACCAACTAGCAGTACCTGAACACACTTGTAAGTGGATCATAAGCTTCCTAACAGACAGGAAGCAGCAGGTGAAGCTAGGCAGAATCACATCCGATACCTGTACAATCAGCCCAGCCCCCCCACAAGGCTGTATGCAATCTCCACTTCTATTCTCCCTATATACCAATGACTGCATTTCAAATGATCCATCTGTTAAAATGCTGAAGTTTGCTGATGACACAACAGTGATTGGTCTCATTCGAGACAATAATGAATCTGCATACAGACAGGAAGTTATACAACTTGCCACGTGGTGTAACCAGAACAATCTGGAACTGAACACACTCAAAACTGTAGAAATGGTGGTAGACTTTAGGAGAAACCCTCCCATACTACCACCTCTTACTAGACAACACAGTATCAACAGTAGAGACCTTCAAATATCTAGGTTCTACTATATCACATGACCTAAAATGGACACTAACATCAGATCCCATCAAAAACATCATTAAAAAAAGCACAACAAAGAACGTTATTTCTGCACCAACTCAGAAAGCTCAAACTGCCCAAGGAGCTGCTGATACAGTTCTACAGAGGAATTATTGAGTCTGTCATCTGCACCTCTATAACTGTCTGGTTTGGTTCTGCAATCCAACAGGACAGACACAGACTCCAGAGAGTAATTAGGAGTTCAGAAAAAACAATTACTACCCACCTGCCTTCAATCGAGAACCTGTATACAGCATTGGTCAAAAAGAGGGCTGTGAAAATATTTACAGACCCCTCATATCCTGGACATAAACTGTTTCAGGTCCTTCCCTCAAAACGACGCTATAGAGCACTGCACACCAGAACAACTAAACACAAGAACAGTTTTTTTCCTGAAAGCCATCACTCTGCTAAACAAATAATTCCCTCAACACTGTTCAACTATTTACAAAGTGTACACTACTATTACTGTTAATCTTCTCATCACTCCTTATCACCCATCCCCTCCCACTTGTGATTGTAGGACTGTAACTTTGTCTCTTGTATCCTTACGATTTATATTGACTGTTTCCTAGTATGATTTGATTGTTGATTGTACCCTATGACTATCATTAAGTGTTGTACGTTATGATTCTTGATTCTTAACGAATGTACCTTTTCTTTATGTATACTGAGAGTATTTACACCAAGACAAATTGGCCAATCACACTTGGCCAATAAAGTATTCTATTCTACTCTATTCTATTCTTTGTCCTTCCTGCTGTGGGCTAAGTTGCCTTTTATCTGCTTGTTCCCTTGGTTGCATCTTTCCCCATGTATCCCAAGATCATTCCCACATACCAATGCAATTTTGTTACCCTACCTATCTTATTGGATTTTGAAGAGTAGTTTGGGTATATTCTGCATTTTTGGCCTAAGAAGAGTAGCATAGGAAAGATCACTGGGACACCAGCCTTTGCATCATATTTTTGGCTGAAGTACATGTTTCCTATTCCTTCAAGATTCAAGATTTCCTATTCCTTCAAGATTCCTATTCCTTCAAGTAATTGGTGTTTTGGAGTCTGGGATAGGTAATTGTGATTTTATTTTAGTGGAAAAAATAAAGGTTTCGTGGTGATGAGCTTCAAGCTAACAACAATGTTCATAAAATATCAAAACTTAATAATAACAGTAAAGAAAAACATCATTATCAAATCACTCAGCTCATATTATAGAAAATTATTGTGTATCCCATAGAATTCATCATAATCTACAAACTAGTCAATAGTGTAGGTAGTACAGTATAGTTAACAGAATAAGAGTTGGGATGGACCTTGGAAGCCTTCTAGCCCAATACCCTGCTATACCTGGAAATCCTATACCATTTCACACAAATTATTGTCTAATCTCTTCTAAAAAAAAACCCTCCATGTTCTATGTTTTGTTTGGGTAAGTTTGTCTAAAAATAAAAAATATATTTTTTATTAAAAAAAAAAAAAACCTCCAGTGTTGGAGCACCCATATCTTTTGGAAGTAGGTTGTTCCACTGATTATATTATGGATGGCCCAGAATTAGCTTGGACAGTGAAGAAGAGCCGGGTTCAGGGACTTCAAACTGCATGTGTCCCATAGGTCACTGGGTAAATATGCCTGCTTTAAACCAATAATACAGTCCTGCTGTTAGCCTTTAGTTTTCTGCAACTTAGAGTGTACTCATATTTCCAATGGTATATAACGACTGCTTCTTTGAAATAGCTAGATTTTTGCAGGTTTTTCTAAACAGCAATTTAGAAATCAGATCATGGTTAGTAATGAAGAACATGGAAACCCTCAGATTGATCCCCTGGCAGGAACTCTCTCCAAGATATACAGTGTTTCCCAGTCCTAAATGGAGGTGTTGAGGATTGTATCTGAAAATAGAAGGGTTTGAAATGGACTCAGGCAAGAAAAAAAAATTCTATTGATGTCTCTGTATATAAAGAGAATGGAGACTGGATGAACTGAACTATAACAGTAAAGAAAAGGTTTTCAATATTGACGATGATGATGATGGTGATGGTTTTGGTGGTGATGATGATGATGATGATGCAAGAAATTTTAAATGAATGCAATTGTCAGCCTCAAGATATCTTCTACATCTTATATCTTCTCTGTATCTTCTCTATAGCATCTTCTCTGCTGCTATGCTCATTTCTTTCGGCTGTCATTAGCAACGGGGGGGGGGGGGGCCCGGGGGGGAAGAGAGCTGGAGGTGTTTTGCATTCCTTTTGCTGTGGGTAGCAAGGGGAGGGGGTGTATGAATTCTTGTCTTTAACTTTCCATTTCCTTGCTAGCTTCTATCCCCTTTGCGCAGCTGCGAAGTTTTGTCAAAATATGTCAAGGTCAACGGACAGAGGCCTCATCACCACCTGAAGATGCCCACACGATCATATTCAGAACTTTTAATTGGAAGAGTCATTTGGACTTTGGGGGGTGGGAACAACTCCATCCCTTTGTATATGTGATCTGCGCGCCAATTCTTCAGATTCGGAATTCAATCTGTAGCTTCCACTTTGATTTCCAGTAAAAGGATAACTTTGCTCTAACCCATGGAGTCTGAGTATTTCTTTCTTGGATCTTGAAGGGAGCACACACTGACAGCAATAACTAACAATTTTAGTTTGATGAAAAAACAACCCTCATTTTTCTACAATAACATAAATAAGGTTGATGTGATAACTGCTATATAGAGACTGTTTTGAATTGTTCATTTTTGACAGTTTTATTATCTTGGGAAACTTTTTAAAGGTTTGCCCTGAGGAACAACTGATTTTGACCATTCACTCATTACAATTGTTTTTCAGAGAAATTGCAACTGTTGATTTTAAATAGACAGAGTTTCATATATCCTGATTACTTAACTGATTAATTTGATACAAGGACTCTTATAATATTTTTGATTTAATATATTCAAGCAATAAAACATAAGTTTTTTCATGTGGTATTATGTATGTGGATTCTTCATTCTTTGATTAAAACATACTTAAATTTCAATTGGATAATTTATTACAATAAGCTTTAATTTAATGGCTTCTTTCAATTCCATCAATTTGAATACATTCAATAAATGTACTGTTTTGTGAAAAGGTGTTAAATAATTAAATCAGGTCTCTGTTATACAGTATAAACAGTTGTAGAAAGTCTTTTTCAATAAAAAATGTAACACTTTATTTTAAGCAGAGTTCAGCTTTTTCCTACAAAGACAACAGCTTTTTCAAAAGAAAATTTTATTTTTTCAGGTTTTGTCAGGTGGAGTATATGAAAGTTTGTTAGAACATTGCAATATGACTAGTCTATGTAGTGAGAGGCATATTTTAATTGAAAGCTGTTGGAAGCCTCCCAGACACTTGAATGCAACTCATTCTTATTTGCAAATAAATTAGATTGTATTGTGCAAAAATACAACTGACATGGATATTATTTATTTTTCTGCATTACCAATTAGCATTTCAAATCAGCATTCCTTAACCTACAGTATGTTTTTTATTTATTTTTGCTTTATTTACTTAATAAATGTAATACTATTAATTCAGTTTCACTAAATATGCTTCAAATACATCTGCTTCTTTTCAGTATACATCAGCTCTTACTTATGATGCTGTTAAAGTAATGACTGAAGCATTCCGTAACTTGCGTAAACAGCGGATTGAAATTTCTAGAAGAGGAAATGCGGGTGATTGTCTTGCAAACCCAGCAGTACCTTGGTCTCATGGTGTAGAGATAGAAAGGGCATTGAAACAGGTAGCCTTTCTAGAACTAATATTGCATATTTTCAAATTATCTGCAGAAGTCATCAGTTGCACTTCATTTTGCATATGAAAATCTTGGATTATTATATCTATTATTTCTGGAAGAACTTCTTAGCAATATATAAAATAAAATAACGTTTTTTGTCTATAAGCATAGTAAATAAATAAATTTCATATGTTTATTTGTTGAACTTTACAATGCTTTCCATTTCTTACTTCATATAGGTTCAGGTGGAAGGCTTAACTGGAAATATAAAGTTTGATCAGAATGGAAAGAGAATTAATTTTACGATAAATGTCATGGAGCTGAAAAGTACTGGTCCTCGGAAGGTAAATTTATGATAAATAGAAAGTTACTTTTACATTCCTTCTAAATAGTATACAAAAAGGAAATATATTCAAACAATACGTATTAAAATGAAATACAGTGTAGAGAAAAGTAAAGTCTTAAACTTAGGCAACAAAAAAAGTACACATATAGACTGGTGAAACCAGGCTTAAAAGCAGTAACTGTGAGATGGATCTTGGAGTCTTAGTGGACAACCAGCTAAATATGAGCCAACAATGTGCAGCAGCAGCTAAAAAAGCCAATGCATTCCTAAGTTGCATTAGCAGAGGGATATAATCAAGATCAAGGGAGGTACTAATACCACTCTATAAAGCCTTAGTAAGACTACATCTAGAATACTGCATCCAGTTTTGGTCACCACACTATAAAAAAGATGTTGAAACTGTAGAAAGAGTGCAAGAAGAGCAACCAAGACGATTAGGGGACTGGAGGCTAAAACATACAATGAACGGTTGCAGGAACTGGGCATGGCTAGTCTAGTGAAGAAAAGGACCAGGGGAGACATGATAGCAGTCTTCCAATATTTGAGGGGCAGCCACAGAAAGTAAGGGGTCAAGCTATTTTCCAAAGCATCTGAAGGCCAGACAAGGAATAATGGATGGAAACTGAACAAGGAGAGATTCAACTTGGAAATAAAGAGAAATGCTCTGACAGTGAGAGCAATCAGCAATGGAACAATTGCCTTCAGAAATTGTGGGAGCTTCATGACTGGATGCTTTCAAGAACAGATTGTCAGAAATGGACTAGATTAGGGGTGTCAAACTCGATTTTATTGAGGGCCGCATCAGGATTTTGTTTGACCTTGGGGGCAGGGTGGGCGTGGCCAGCTTGACATCACTCATGTTGGGGGCGCCTTTGGAGCTTGAGTGCTCTGCCAGCGAAAACAGGCTCCCAGCTCCGTTTTTGCCTGCAATGGCCTCCTGCCACCCTCTGCCAGTTAAAACAGAGCATAGGACGGCTGCCCATGGCCCACCCCTAGCTCCGTTTTCATTGGCAGAGGCACCGCAGGCCAGTGCTTCACTTTTTCCAGGGCAGCCCCATGGGCCAGATCTAAGCACCCTGCAGGCCTTGAGTTTGACACTCCTGGACTAGATGAACTACTACAAGGTCCCTACCAATTCTGTTAATCTGTTAAATAACGAGTACAATGCATGATTAAAGACCCATGAACTTTTGTGTATAAATTAACACTTTAACTGAAATTCAAGAGCCATGGAAATTTTAATTTGGATATAGTAAAATGCCTAAGTTTCTCCCTTCAGCTGTAAACATGATTGAATACTAGAAAAAATATCATCGTTCTCATAATTGTTTGATGATCTCTATATTGCTATTTCAAAACCACACAAAATATTTTTTTTTGCAGCGAATATATAGAAATAATCACTTTTTGAATATACCCAATAGCAGGGGTGGGCAACTATGGCCCTTTTATGAATTATGGACTTCAACTCCCAGAATTCCTGAGCAAGCCATGCTAGCTCAGGAATTTTGGGAGTTGAAGTCCACAAGTCATAAAGGGGCCATAGTTGCCCACCTCTGCCCAATAGACTTGAATATGATATGGGATTGTCATTTGTCAAAAAATACAGAAAATATTTATTCACTTGAATACAATTTACCACTATTTTCAGATTGGATATTGGAGTGAGGTGGACAGAATGGTGGTGAATCCCTTGGATGGTCTCTCTGGCAATGATACCTCAGGATTAGAAAATAAGACTATTGTTGTCACCACTATTTTGGTAATTAAGCATATTTTTTGTGACATGGATTCTCTAAATTGTAATCTCATTATTCATTCTCAATCTATGTTGGTATAGATAATCACTGTCTGGTTTTTTTTTTCCACGAATGTGTAAAAAATTAAGAAATACTGTTTATGGAATAATTACAAAATCTCTTCATGTGTTTTTTTCAGATATATCAGAAATTTTGAAATGTATCACTATTTTTTTATTTTCTACAAATGACAATTACTGTGGTAGATATACCTTTTAAATATTTAAATTGATGACAGAAAATGAGAATGGAACCAGTTTCAAGGAAGGGATTTTTCATTTTTTTTAACCACAGCCATTTACAATTTCCCACTAAACTGAGACATTATGAATATACAGTTACAAACATTATAGAAATTTAGGAATGCCATATTGTTTTCCCAGTAAGCTAACAATCGTATGAAGTTGTTTGTTCAAGGCATAACTGTTCTGGATTATATACTAAAGACATCAACATTTTATCAACTGTTTTGGTGGTGGTAAGATTTTTTTTGACAGTTCTATGTTTATTATAAATCTATATAATCAATTTTGGTTGGTTGAAATTGAGAAATATAAAATATTATGAAATATTCATGACTTTTCTGATATATTATTTTGAAAGCTTAAAAATAAAATATGTTAAAATGTTCTTGTTATAATAGTGATTCCACTAATGCAAATAAAAATCATTAATTTGTTTTTGTTTTTTTAAATAAAGGCCTCTATCTGTAAGGCTTTATACAACTGTAAAAAGTGTTATTGATAAATAAATAATCCTGAACATTTGTGAAACAAGTTTTTTTCCTTATTTACTTATTGTGCTTCAAAAGGTATATAACAAATAGGCAACTTACTTCATAGCTTTATTAACCAGCTAAAGCCAAGTTTCTCTGTACAGGAATCCCCATATGTCATGATGAAGAAAAATTTTGAATTGCTTGAAGGAAATGAACGCTATGAGGGCTACTGTGTGGACTTAGCTGCAGAAATTGCCAAACACTGTGGGTTCAAGTACAAACTCACAATTGTTGGGGATGGCAAGTATGGGGCCAGGGATGCAGAAACAAAAATCTGGAATGGAATGGTTGGAGAACTTGTTTATGGGGTAAGAGCCAATTTTAACCATTGCAAGTATTTGATTAACGAAGATAAGCTCAATACCTGTTAGTATGACAACTGAAATTCACTTGGATCAAAGCAAGGTCACATATTTTAGAAAACAGGTAATATAAATGCATTTCATCCATTTTTTCTCCCTACAAATATTCGGCCCTAAATGTAAGGGTGTTCCACCAATGTTCATAATATGATTATATTTTAGAAAACAGGTAATATAAATGCATTTCATCCATTTTTTTCCCCTACAAATATTTGGCCCTAAATGTAAGGGTGTTCCACCAATGTTCATAATATGATTATAAAATATTATCCTCTTATATGATCAAACTTGAATATGTAAGAATATTGAGGCAGGCTGGCTTAGTAAATGCTAGCGCTGAAGTAATTATGGTCTTTCCCCTTGACATTAGATTATTCATTTGCAATGCACAAAAACAATGAAGCCGTTCCCTTGTTAAATAACTCATTGTTTCTTCTGCTTCCATTACAGAAAGCTGATATCGCAATTGCTCCATTAACTATAACACTGGTGAGAGAAGAAGTGATTGACTTCTCAAAGCCTTTTATGAGCCTCGGGATATCGATAATGATCAAGAAGCCACAGAAGTCCAAACCAGGGGTGTTTTCCTTTCTTGATCCCTTAGCATATGAGATCTGGATGTGCATTGTTTTTGCCTACATTGGGGTCAGTGTTGTTTTATTCCTGGTCAGCAGATTTAGCCCTTACGAGTGGCACACTGAGGAGTTTGAAGATGGAAGAGAAACGCAAAGTAACGAATCAACTAATGAATTTGGGATATTTAATAGTCTCTGGTTTTCCTTGGGTGCCTTTATGCAGCAAGGATGCGATATTTCGCCAAGGTTGGTTACATGCCTGTCTCAGCTTTGTGCATTTTGGTCTCATGAAGGATATTTATGGCGCCTATAGATTCACTCTAAATAAATACCGGCTGCTGACAAGCTTTCCAAAATCATCTGCAATCCTTTACTAAAACAATCAGTTTGTGATGCAGACAGAAGACAATTCAATTGGTTTGTTCTTAACATCCGTTGTTCTTCATCTGGTGGACTTATATGCACCATACAGAGGCTTCAAAATGCATAAGGTTTCTATCATTTGCTGCCTTCTTGGAGGGGTACCGTGTTTTTGCTGCATATTCCCAGTACAGTACAAAGTGCACTGGTTTCACAGATGCTGTAATGGGAAAAAGGGTAGCATGTAGTTAACGATAAATGAAATGGTTGCATCACAAAGATACTTCTTGTGCCATCTTGCACATGATTCCCATCTCTACTTTCAGCAAAACCACTAGGCTTTAAACAAGAAAAATCTTTTTTTTTTAAATAACTTAATGGTCCCTGGAACCAATTACAGCAAATGTAGTTGTTTGCAGGAAGTTTCCTATTGATTTCCAAACATAAATTCAGATAGATATTTATTTTATGAACCATACTATGCTCATGTTTGTTTTATTTCTTTCCACAGTATTACCAACTTTTCCATTTCCTTCATGTTTTGGCTGAAACTCAACAAATCTGATGGGCACACATTGCTGCATCATATTGAGTACGGGCATTATTTCAGAACTGAAATTAAGTCTGTCCCTAAGAATTGCTAGGTTGGGTTTTTGTCGGATTTCACTATTATAACTGACCTATTATTTTTACCTTTCAGTAAAAAAAAAATCAAATACAATGAAGAGAATTTCGTTTTTACATATTCTACTTATTTCAGGTTACAGGAATCTGCTACCTTAGCACTTAGTTCTATCAAGGAAGATCAAACACAAAATAATCTAAATAAAATTGGGGGGAAATAATATGGATGATGATGATAATGTTATCCATTTAGTCGGGCCAGGTCTCTCAGTTCTTCTGATCTTGTACTACTTTTTTGAGTTTTTCTATGCTCTGGCTGATGTCAGCTTTAATGGTGTCCAGCCACTATACTGCTAACTGGAAAGTACTTCCAATGTGTTGTTTAGTTAATTAGTTGCTGCTTATAACTTTGTTATCTACTAGACATTACTTCCTCTGGATTGTCAGTAAATTCTTCTTCGAGTTCTTTTAAAGGTTATCTTTGTGATATCACAAAGTATCTAGCCATCTTGTTTTCTACTGGATTTTTTATTGATTGCTTTCAATTTTTCCAAGCATTAGGATCTTCTCCACTGACTGTTACCCATGTATTATACACTGCCTATGCAAAATATTTGAATTCTTTAAACAGTATCTTCAGAACTGCAGTTCAGAGTCACCAGGTTTTTTTCTTCTAAACGTTCAACCATTCTGATGAACCTGTTTTCACAGATATATCTTACAACTGATTTAACTTCTTAAGTCTAGCCATTTATATGTGGTTGATATATTCTTGAGGGGGTGGAATATACACATACATAATATGCAGCCTGATTTCCAGTAACAGTGGGCAGCTTATAAAATGTAAAACAAAATTAAAAGCAACATAAAGCAAAAATAAGAGCAACGATGTGAAAGATAACTAGATGGGGAAAAAGAAAAATTGGATTCAGTTGCAAAAAGCCTGGGCAAGGAATCAGTTCTTCAGGACCCTTTGGAACACCGGTAGGAAAGGCGCTACTTTATTCCAGAGGGCTGTTGTTTCAGAGAAAGTGCCCTTCACTTTTAATTAAAGGCACCTGGAGCATGCTAAACCTGTTAGGTCAGATTGACTAGGCAAATATTATTGAAGTCTCTAATACATAATGTGTGTGCACGTGTGTGTTTGTGTGTGTGTGTGTGTTTTCATCTTTACCAAGATATTTCTTATGTCTTCTTCACTTTCAGGCATCAAATAGGTTGCTGATGTTTCTTCCAGCAATTTTAATACCAATTTCGTTGTGTTCTAGTTCAGCATTTTGCACAATATACTGTATTCTGTATGAAAGTTAAATAAAAAAGTGACTGTACAGTATATAGCCATTGTGCACTTTTCTAATGTAATACCATCCAGTTACCCCAGATTCCATTCCAAATCTTATAACAAATCATTCATGATTTACATAATTAAAACCTTTATATAATCAATAAAGCAAAAGTAGATGTATTTTTTGTCTTTTCCATCAATCATCAGGTGTTAAGCAACATGATCTGGGACACCAATTTGTATATCAATACAATTTGTATATCTGGAACTTCTCTGTCCATCATTGTTGAACACTGAATTGTGAGATCTTGAGTTTTATTTGTCCACCGTGTGAGAAGTCTTTTTTTATACTGGAACATAACTTGATCTTTTCCAATCCCTTGGCCACTGCTATGTTATTCTTACCTGATTAAAAATGGCAAGTAGCACTTTAACTGCATCTTGTAAAATGTTGAACTGTTTGCTGATATTTAATCAATTCCTGCATTTGCTAGCAATATTTTGCAGAGTCCCATTCGACTTCACTTTTCAGAATATCTATCTCTAGTTCACTATCAAATTTTTATTCTTCAATCATCTAGGAATCCATTTTGTACAGTTCTTTCCTATATCCACGTTTTATTGATGTTTTCTTTTTCCAACAGATCTTTGCCTATCTTTTATCATGCCATTTTTGCATTAAGTAAGGCTCCTATTTCTTTATCTTATCTGAAGATTATCTTCAGTTTCTTTGCATTGCATATTTAGATGCAACTTCTTGTATTTCTTTGCTCTTTTTGGAAAGATGTGTCGCAGGGATATCCAACAAGCAAAATTTCATCAAAAAGATGAAAAATATGTTGTCATGTTACAATGCAAGTTCTGGTCCTTATGTGTGTGATTTGGGGGTCCTTATAGTGTTGTGTGGCAAGTAAAAAAAGGACAGGCTTTGCATTGTGACTTCTCAAACATGTTTCAGTATTGGTGATTCTTACATTATTCTGCAGACACTAGTATTCAGTATTTACCTGGGCAAATTTTGTCTGTTTCCCTTTGCTTTCTGCAATCTTCATCTATTTTTCAATATTAACAGCAGTTATTTTGTCTTATTCTTTTATTTTTACATTTTGGGATATTTTTGTTTGCTTCACCTTTAATTATGTCACAATTTTCATTCAGAGTTGTTCAGCTACTGTGTTTATCAAATATAATACATTAAATATAAACGCCTATCACTTAGATATATGGAATACTACATTGTCCATATCTCTTATTATATTTAATTTAAACTGAAATTTTGTAAGAAATTCATAATTTAACAGCTAACTGAATCTGGTATTGCTTTTGCAGACTGAATATCCTTCTTGGTCTTTGTTTGCAGAGTATATAGATAGACAACTGGATTTTGGTATTATACAACACATGAAGTCCACATATGGAATTGTCTTTTAGAGTATTGGAAATATTTACTTGGCAAAAGTTGACAGAACTCTGGTTGTCTGTCTCTTGTTTCATTTCATACACTGAAGTAAAATATTCCAATTATTCCCAATACATTCCAGTTGGAGTTGGAGTTTTTATATGTGTGTGTGGGGAGGCTGTATACATGTTTTGTCAGCAAGGTGTTGTAGGTTGCCTCTGTGCTTTGAGTATAGACTTGAAATTCTATAATACGGTGACTTGTCTCATGTTTTAGAATTATGTCTCAGCACTGACGTTGATAACCATTTGTTCATAATGACAACTATTCCATTTCTTGTTTACAGTACAATATCTATGTTGTTGGTTTGAGCTCCGAGCAAATTGGTTGCAAATGACATCTTCAGTGCACTATAGATTCTGCTTGTCTGGGAGTAGACTGGCCTTTAAATACCTTTCTGAGTCCTGGTCTGATTTGGGGTTGTGGGACTGGCTGACTGTAGTTGCTCATAGTCCTTGGTGTTAATACCTATGCTTTTGGTATAAAATGATCCACCTGGATCTATTTCACTTAGAAAATTCTGAGAATGTTAATGTTAAGTGTTGAATTCTGGCTCTAATAACATCAATTTTGCTTCATTTCATATATTTATTTGTTTTTAAACCTTTTGACTCTCAAGGACTGTATTGTTTTGACATTCCATATTTTTGCAGCATTTTTCTTCTTTTGCTTCTAGTTAGTATCATCAGTATTTAAACATCTTTTTTGGCTTTAATCAAGACTTACTACTCATATGTACTCACTCTCTCTTCTACCTGGAAGCTCATTATCTTTTTGGCTTGGAGAGAACTTCCTCTAAGATCATGTTAACATTATCTTGAAATACACACACACACACACACACACACACACACACTTCACTTTTTTGGCATAATTCTGATGTGGTTTGAGTGACTTTTTTCTCCAGTAGAGTGTATTTAATTTGATTGGGTTACATTTCTGGGAATATGTACTCCTTATAGTTGATAGTATCATTGGAATGCATAACGCTCCTTTCCACTATATAAGATCTATCCATGAATCGGCTTTTTGAAGTATTGTGGATTGTTTTTTTTTACAGTGGATACAGTGAATATTCTATATTCAATTTAGATTTTATGATCTGAGAGTAAGGGAAAATGGAAGTTTGACAAAATACATGTAGGAATGAAAAGTTGTAAAACTGCTTTTATTGCTCTTGCAAATATAATTGCATTCTGTAGAAATTCTGTAAAGTCTTGGTCAGTTAGATCAGTGACCTTAAAGAGCCATCAGAAGGCAGTTGAATACGTTCTTTGTTAAAGAGCTGACCTGTCCTGTGTCTAATCTAAATAGATTAAACCAAAGGGAAAAAAAAGCCAATGCACCCTAAACAGCAACTGAAAAATACATATTAACAATCTTTTCCATTGAAATAATTTGAATTCAAGTTTTTCTCACTTTGAAACATCAAAATTAGCTTGGTTTTGAAGAAAACAGCTATATTAAATTCCAAATTAGTTGTTTTGAACAAACAAACAAAAATGTACTCACAATATAGCTTTTGAACTCAAGACCACTCCCAAAAATTTCCAAATCAGCATATTTTGTACTGAAGACATGTTTGTTTTGCACAAGAAATGGGATGATTTGAACTCAAAACAGTTTATATAAATTATGTTATTTAATGGAAATATTATATGCAAATCTGTAGTCTCCTTTGACCCTTTGTAGGGGGTCATCAATTGTCATCTAAATATTCAGCCTACAGTAATTACTTCCATATATTTTTATGAAGCTCTATGCCAGCACCTGACAATGGTAATATGAAATGAATGAGACTTCTTTCATAAATCCTAAGAAACAACTTTAGCAATCTGAATGAACAAATGAATATATTTTTTTATTACAGTCACTGACCAGAATCTAGCATTTAGATTTGCTATAGTTCCAATACTTCTCAGCCATTTCTGTATCATATTACAGTAATATCCCTTGCCATGCACAATCTTTTTTCCTTCATAAAGTATGGGAAAATTCTTAGGAGGACAGTTATAATGACCTCCTAATTTATACAAAGTTATAATTTATATAAAATTATAATTTATACTATAAATAACTTTGGAAATAGTTTCTATGATACAGTATGTATATGCATATATACTTCTGCATCTGTTGTTATTGCTGATTTTTTTGGATTTTTTTACATGTCACCTTGAAATAATCAATGACTATGATGAATTTCATTTAAAGTGTGTTCATATTGATAATGCTTTAGCACCTTCAGAATAAATGATATTAAGGTGTCTGTCCTTAATATCACCTGTATAAGACTGTAGGAAGTATAGAAACTGCAGCTAATCACTGGATAGAAGTTTTTTTTTCAAGTTAGCAAGATCGTATTGCTTCACTTTTTGCCATTATGCATAAGAAAGTTTTGTAAAGATTGAAACTGAAATTGGATAGCCCATATAGATATTGAGAGGAAGTTTGGTGTAGGGAATAAGGCATCTAGTTCTGCCTCAGGCACAAAACCAGCTACCTAGGAAGGAGGTAATGGAAAACTACTTCTGATGTACCAAGAAAACTGGGCTTGTCCAGGCAGTCTCAAAGAATCAGACAGAATTAAAAAGAAGGGGAAAAAAGAGAGAGATTAGATAAGCTATTGCTCTTCGGGTTTATTTTATTTTATTTTTCATTTTTGGGTTGTCTCCTTATATAGAATACATTGAAAATAAAGATCCATAATAGGCAGCTACTATTACATTCAAATATTTTTAAAATCTTATTGTCAGATTCTGATTCTGAGTTTTTCATACAAATATGCATGCAGTGATTGGGCAAAAGTCATATGCGGTGACATTAAACCTCTAAATCCCTAAAAAAATTCATTAGAATGATTCATATTATTGCATAATATATTACCTCCACTATGTTAAATGCTGAAATATTTGCAATGGATAACCAATATCCATTGCATCCATTGCAAGAGAAATTCCTGCACTGTGCATAGTGGTTTTAACCTATTAAAATATTCTGTTTTGATTTCAATGTATTTCATTGATCTTGTCTGATTTTTCTGTAAATATATTCATTTGTGTTATCATGAAAATATTTTCAAGAAAAAATATTGCAATAACATGATCTAAGCAGCTTTCTTTTGCAGGATTCTTGGACCTATGAAGATCCAATAGTACATTAATTCAATACAGAAGTCCTGAATTTAGTGAGACACCTTATCTAAGTAAAATATCATTACTTTCCTATGTCGTTAGCATGCATAGCAACATATACCTCTCCTTTCCCAAATAGCATGAATAAAATGTTCTCCGAGTTATCCATTGCAGCATATATATAAATCTGATAACTTGTATTCCTTTCAGGATATTCATTTCACTTTACAAATCTATTTCATACATTATTAGATCCCTGTCTGGGCGCATTGTTGGAGGTGTGTGGTGGTTCTTTACACTGATTATAATATCATCCTACACGGCTAACTTAGCTGCCTTCCTGACGGTGGAAAGAATGGTGTCTCCCATTGAAAGTGCTGAAGATTTATCTAAACAATCAGAAATTGCTTATGGGACTTTAGATTCTGGCTCAACAAAAGAATTTTTTAGGGTAAGAGTATCTGCTAACCTAACTCTAAAGTTCTGAAATATTAAGCTACACTTGCACTCTCTTAATATAGCCACAATAAGTAGAAATAGGAGCAGAAACCAGAGTTTTAATATAGGTTTTTTTTTTTTTTATTCAACATAGCAATCAGTTACTAGTTCCAAATTTTTACTACAACTTCAAATATCCCTCTTCGAGATTTTCAATTAAATTTTTACATCCAACTGTCATAACTTCCATACTAAAGAAATGGATTGTGCATTATGTGTTTCTGAAACTACCGGTAATAATTCTGCTAATGAACTGTTTACATTTCTCATGTTCTTTATGACATCCTAAATCCAGA